TGGTTAAACTGTATGATAATGACTTAGCTTCATTTGTGGTTAGTTGCTCAATTTTGGTTCCATGATCTTCAGACTTCATAACTAGATTTGTGCAAAGCATTGTGCAAATCTGGCATATATAGTTTGTAGAACTCCTCATTGAGGAAAGCTTCAGGTTTTCCTGGAGCTTTATTTATTTGTTTGAGGGATGTGTGCATTTCTTCCTTTTGCCCCCTCCCCCAAAACCTAGGACAGGAATCCTAGAGGCAGGGGAGTTTTAGAAAGCACTTAAACTTTTATCTTTGTCTCAAAAAATATACATTTAAGGCAATCCTTTTGAAGATGGTAGGGCAATAGTTTAGATTACAAAGGTGAAGATGAAAAGACATCTTTAATAGTCTTTCACTGATTTGAATTTTAGAATTAGAACTGATTTGGTGCAATCTTTTTACAGATAAGAAAACAGGCAAAAGTGTGCATACTTGGTACATATTGGAGGGTTTAGACTATTGAGTTTTTGCCGTAAAAACAGTTTGCCTTTTGCATGTTGTATACTGAAAGACTAGATGGGGAGCTAACATTTTTTAAAGTACCGCATTGAGGGGCAGGCCTGGTAGCGCAAGTGGTTGAGTGCGCGCGCTCCGCTGCTGCGGCCCGGGGTTTGCCGGTTTGTATCCTGCGGGCACCAATGCACCGCTTGGCAAGCCATGCTGTGGCGGCGTCCCATATAAAGTGGAGGAAGATGGGCATGGATGTTAGCCCAGGGTCAGTCTTCCTCAGGAAAAAGAGGAGGATTGGCAGATGTTAGCTCAGGGCCGATCTTCCTCACACACACACACACACACACACACGTACCGCATCGTTACCCCTAAGTCTATGAGGTTGGTATTGTTATCTTCACTTATGAATTAATTAGAATGTTAGGTTCAAAAAGGGCAAATGATCCAAGGTCATAGCATTGATAAATGGTGAAATGATTCTAAGTCAGGGCCTCCTCACATCAAAGCCTTTTCTAGCTTCAGTGCTTCTTTCTGTAGTTGAAAGGTGGAGGTTCCTAAGGTCCCCATAGCTCAGCTAAACCCAACAACAACAACTGCAGCGTTAACAATACAGGGTGCAGGGGTTGGGTTAAGTGCTTACAGGCAGATAATGTCTCACTTTAACTTCACTGCAGCCATTTGTAGCTACTGTTATTGTCTCCGTTTTTGCAGAGGAAATTGAGGCGGAGAGAAGTAACTAGCTCATGGGTCTAAAGCTTGCAGAGGCAGCCAGAACTCCGGTTTGTCAGATCCCAGAGTAATCTCTTAACCATTGTGCTTGCTACACTGGCTTTCAAACCTAAAACAAATGGTGAATTATTGAAAATGGCCGTATGAACTAGTTACCCTGTACAAGTCTCTTTGGATGTCACCTTTCACAAAACGTATCTCCAGCTTCACCTCATTGTGGTTTGAGTTCATTCTTGTGGTAGACTTCTCGGTTTCAGCTCTGAGGGCTTCCTCCTCACTGCAGAACAAGGAGGCAAGCCTTTGCACAGCTCCTTTCTTGGGCTCTGGAAGCTGACTGCCCCGCAGGGAGGAGGAGGGGCAGTGGCAAGGGCAGCAAAGGGACAAGCATCCTGGACTGGCCATAAAGAAATGAAATAGGTTTTCTTAGTGGCTCACGAATGGGCTCTAAAGACCTGTAGTCTGACAAGATGACTGTTTTGAAGGATAACACTCATTTTAATTTGAAAACGTGATAAATATATGGGGAAAAATCAGTTTTGTAACTTTTAAATCTCATTTTACCTTCTGTCCATAGCTGATAAGGGGAAAATCCAGTTTGTGTAATTTGTCATATTTCTGTTCTTGTTAGGCAGTTGTGTGGTACTTGTGATTGAATTGAGAAGACTTACTTTAGGAATCTAGTAATATAGTCAGCACTTGAATACAGTATGCATTTGAATTTGTCTCCCATATGATCTAGAGCTCTGGAGTTTTTCACATTGTGAAGCAACATTTTAAGTTAATTTTGTTGCTTAAATTTTACACTATGCCAAGTGTTGTGGCATTCCACATGATTGGTGAGGACCTAAGAATGGGAAATTTGGCACGGGTGAAAGTTGGTTAATATATTTGAAAGACAGCTAAACATGCCGTAAGTGCAAAGTGAAGCAACTTGTGGCAATGAGATGACACTCCAGCTCTCCAAATATGAGCCAGCATTTCACTCCTGTTATGCAGGTATTTTTCAAAGTTCCTGCAGTGTGCGCCAAGTGTACACTAATGCCTGTGCTTAAAACAGGGCAGCTTACAGTGTGCGGAAGGCAGCAAAGTAGCTGCAGCTGGTGTTTTGAGGGTTGAAAAAAATTTCCACAAGGGATTCCTGTCAAATCCCGTTAAGCAAGCCCTTCCTTTTTAGAGATCATTATGGAGAAACAAACTGAGGTAACAAAATAACAAGGGGAAGTTAGAAAGTTTCCTGAATCTTTCAGTTTCTTTCAGGAACTCTGTAGTTCCTGAATCTGAATCTTTTGCTGAGATGGTCAAAGGAAAGCTTCTTCCTCTCATCGCTTTATTTCTGAGGGTGGGGATCACGCTACTTTTGTCCCTTTCCAGCTTCTAGCTAGCCACCTGGCCCTAAACCTAGGCTTAAAGATGCAGTCCAGGCCAGAGTCCCCTTTGTCTCAGATGAGCAGTCAGCCGTTTGGAGGACTGGTAGCTTCTGTTCAGCGGGAAGCTGACTTCTCTGGGAAGATCGTTGCCTCCAAGACTGTTAGGAAGTTCTTGGATGTATTCCTCAAATGTCTCTTATCAATCCTTCTCCTCCCCTTTGGGTTATTCTGAACAAGTCTAATTCTTCTATTTGACAGGTCTCCAGATATTTGAGAATAGTAATCATGTCCTCCCAGAGACTTCTCTTATCTAGGCTAAACAGCCTCCCTTCCTGGAGAAATAGTTCATGGTTTTGAGGTCTCTTTCCCTTTTGTAAATGCCTCTTTCTTAAGTGTGTTGTTCAGAAGGAAATTTCAATTTTAGTCTAATAAACATGGAACAGATTAGTGCTGTGACAAATGCTATACCTTTGGTAAGTGCAGTCAAATAGTGTCTAAGTTATTTTTCCCTGAGACCCAGCACACTGCTAAGTCATATGGAGCTTACTTTCAGTTAAAAATCTCCATTCTTTTAAAAATATTTATTGTCTTCCACTTTGTCCTCCGTGATTCAAGTTCAAAACATTTACATTTTGTTTTATAATATTTAACAGCTATGTAGAGATTGTTTTAGAATCTGTTTCTGTCACAGCCTCATGTTATCTCCAACTTTAATGTCTGCCTTCTATGTTTTCATCCAAGTAATTAGGGAAAACAGTTGAGTAATTGGGGAAAACAGGGACATGTCTCTAAAAAATTTACAGATTGTCTTTAGTCTATTATCCTTTGAATACTTTGTAAGAAATAATCTTCTGATTAATTTAGTTGTACTTCTGTTTAGCCCCTATTCACTTTGTCTACAAAGATAGCATACAACCTCGTCTTAAATCTTACTATCGTCGGGATAGATTGTGTCCACAGCGTTACATTGCCTGGCAAGCTTAGTAAAACTATCCGAGAAGGAAATAACTTTGGTGTCATAGGGCTTAGTGAAGTGAATCCATGCTGGGCTACAGTGATCACTGCTTTTTTTTTTTTTCTTTCTACCTGTTTAGAAACCACCTCTGATTCTAGATGTATCCAGAATAAACACCAAATTGTTCTTCCAGAGGCTTTTGTCAAGCTTTACTTCATTACTTTTCTGATACTCTTCTGTTGCAGTCTCATATCATTGTATCCTCGGTTATATGCTATTCTTTCCACTTCTGTTTCTTATCTCTCATAAACCTAAGCTTATTAGAGAAGCCTCTCAAGTTTCCCACACCAATTTCTGTAAGTACCTCCCTTATATCAGCATCCTATGCAATTATTTTATTAGATTTACATCCTTTTTTTGTGTGTGTGAGGAAGATCAGCCCTGAGCTAACAGCTGCCAGTCCTCCTCTTTTTGCTGAGGAAGACTGGCCCTGGGCTAACATCTGTGCCCATCTTCCTCCACTTTATATGGGACGCCGCCACAGCGTGGTTTGACAAGTGGTGTGTCGGTGCGCACCCAGGATCTGAACCGGCGAACCCCGGGCTGCCGCAGCAGAGCGCGCGCACTTAACTGCTTGCGCCACCCAGCTGGCCCTGGATTTACATTCTTGAGAGTTTCCTATCTATGAAACTATTTTTAAGTTCTTCCTAAATTAAAAAAAAAATTCCACCTAAAAAAGAAAAAACAAATTAAAAATTCCATTCGCCTGGGGCCAGCCCAGTGGTGGAGTGGTTAAGTTTGTGAGCTCTGCTTCGGGGGCCCGGGGTTCGTGGGTTCAGATCCCAGGTGCAGACCTACACACCACTCATCAAGCCATGCTGTGGTGGCATCCCACATACGGAATAGAGGAAGATTGGCACAGATGTTACCTCAGGGCCAATCTTCCTCACCAAAAAAAAAAAAAAAAATTCCGTCCTCCCAATAAATTAGGTAAATTCCAGATCTAAACAATCTCTGTTGATCAAGTTATTGGATTGTAGGTTCTTTTTAAAGTAATTATGGATCCTTCTAGACCTTTTAGTCTTCACTCTAAATCTGTAAAACAAGCACACATGCCCCCTGTGACTCGATGTGTATTATAAATAGAACCTTACACTCTAGTGTTCTTTTAACTTTTGGAGGCTTTATGTCCTATCAATTTAGGAAAATTACTGCAATTTTTCAGAAATATCTGTTCACATGTAAAGTGTCACTAAAGTAGATGCATAGAATTTTATAGCAGGAACACAGTGGTGGGTGAAGAAGAGGAGGCAATGTTTATTAAGAGTATACTGTGTGTCAGGTCCTATGTTGGAAGTAATCTAGTTAGTAACGGGGAGCTGGTTGGAATAATCATTTGGGGGATAATTGAAAGGTGCTTTTGGTTGTAATTATGGTGCAATTCAGATTGTTCTTCTTTTTCTTTTAAAGGAACAATGAACAGAATGAGTACCTCACAGGACCAGAGTGGCTGCTCCGGTAATAGAGAACCCCTTTTGAGGTGTTGTGATGCACGGAGGGACTTGGAGCTTGCTATTGGTGGAGTTCTCCGAGCTGAACAGCAAATTAAAGATAACTTGCGAGAGGTGTGACTCGTGCTTTTCTCTCCTCTTGTCTGGACTCTTAGCACAAGGCTGATTAGGGCATGGCCAAGGGCTTGGCTTCTCAGTGCCAACCAAAAAGTTTCACCCAATGCCTTGAATGGTCTGCTTGAAATGTTGGTGCCTTTGATTCCAAAGGGAAATAAAGCAGATGTTAACAGAGTCTGGAAAACCTTGTACTACTTTAGAGAATTCAGTTCAACATGCATTTTTGATTGTTCCTCTATGTGGTCCCTGTGCCACGCACTGCCATCAATAAAACAATAAAATGAGTGAGCAGCATGCTGCTCAGCTGTATCCTTGATGCATACAAGGTGGCACTTCAGCATGTCCCCTACCATCTTTTAACGTGGCGGTGGCATGGTTTTCGTGGTGGCATGGTTCTGTAAATGACTTTTTCTGTTAGAGCAAGCCAGAATGAAATCTGGACGTTCCATTGGCCTAATAGTATTCTGTTGGTGAGTGGTGACGAAGTATTAACGTGACTTTGAAATACAACTTTATTATACAGAAAAATGTTTTAAAATATAATTAATTGTTTATGTGGAATCTCATGGATAATTTATAGCTGTTTTGATTTTTTTTCTTTGGTTTTCTTTGATTTTTTATATTTATCCCCCTTTTGAATTATTATTTATGCTTCCAGAAACATTTAGTTTATAATTTTACTTAAACTGTCTACCCTACTGATCTTCTGGCTGTTGACATGTAGTGGCACATCTCTTTACTAAATTGGCCTACTGTAAATGGATTTCTCATTTGTAGGGTGAGAAAAGAGAAAAGGACTAGCTATTAAGCTAACACTGTCTTATTTAATAACACTGATAAATTCGTAAAGCTATAGGTTTTCAAATTATATGGAAAACTGAGGGGGATCAGTATCATGTGACCTATCCTTGTATTTTCTCTTGATTACTTTAGGACACCCCAAATAAACCCAATCCTCTTACGAGGAGGGGTATTGAAGGAGGATTTTAGAGCTTAGCTATGCCTTCATGCCTGGAATTCTTAAACTGGGTCCAGGGGGCTTTGGGACACTAAACCAAAAGAATTTGTGACCCCCAAAAGTTTAAGAACCTCATTGTTCTGTGGGAAACACCATTCTTTAGGCTTATAACACTAGTGAAATTACATGTGTGTGTTTCCTAGGTCAAAGCTCAGATTCATAGCTGCATAAGCCGCCACCTGGAATGCCTTCGAAGCCGTGAGGTGTGGCTTTATGAACAGGTAGATCTCATCTATCAGCTTAAGGAGGAGACACTTCAGCAGCAGGCCCAACAGCTCTACTGGGTAAGGTGGCTGCAAAGCTATAATTGGTTTGAGCATGGTTTCTGGTTTCCAGAGAATGTCTTCCTATAATGCAGCATTAATATAGATGAGATAAAAGTTGAATCTCAAATGGTCTTTGCTGTTTGCTAACTTGGATACAGTTGGTTCCTTTACTATCATTGTGGCTAGATTGTTTCATTTTTCTTACAGTTACTGGGTCAGTTCAACTGTCTTATTCATCAGCTGGAGTGTACCCAAAACAAAGATCTAGCCAATCAAGTTTCTGTGTGCCTGGAGAGGTAAAGACCCTTTTTGCTTGTTTTGACTTTTGGCTCTTTGACTTTGGTGTATTAAAAAACATCAGTTTTGTAACTTATTGCGTCTGTTGGATTTAACTTGACGTTTCTGTTCCTGTGATAAGATCATCCTTCTTTATATATTTAATATACTTGGTGGTGCATGGTTAAGTCACTGCCTTTGGTTGAGTTTCTTAGAAAAGTATAATCATTTCAGATTACTCATAATTTGGCTTTTGTTTTAGATGAAGGTAAAACAGACGGTCCTTAAAAATAGCCAGGCTTTGTTTATTTTTTCCTCCAGACTGGGTAGTTTGACCCTCAAACCTGAAGATTCGACTGTCCTACTCTTTGAAACAGACACAACTGCTTTGCGCCAGGCCATCACCACATTTGGGTCCCTCAAGACCATCGTGAGTAATGTTGATCTGAGATGGTTCATAGTGCGCTTCTCAGGTCTGTGCCCTCACAGTTGGTCTTAAAAACATCACATTTTTACTATGAATAGTGTTTTCTTGAGAATTTGATAAGCTTCAGAAATTTCATATTCTGATTAAGGTGATAGAGCATTAGGCTGCTAGTTCTTGGAATGTGATATTGACTCATTGGTAGTCTCTAGAATTCATCTTGTATCTCTTTAAATATCTTTGACATATTTCTTATAAAATTTATGGCTTGAATGGCCTTTTTTTTTTTTTTTTTTTTGGCTTGAATGGCCTTTTTTTTCTTTTTTTGTGAGGAAGATCAGCGCTGAGCTAACATCTGTCGCCAATCCTCCTCCTTTTGCTGAGGAAGATTGGCCCTGGGCTAACATCTGTGCCCATCTTCCTCCACTTTATATGGGATGCTGCCAGAGCATGGCTTGACAAGTGGTGCGTCTGTGCGTGCCTGGGATCCGAACCCCGGGCTGCTGCAGTAGAGCGTGCACACTTAACCGCTATGCCACGGGGCCGGTCCCAGTGGCTTGAATGGTCTTTAATATAAAGAACGAAACATGGTCTCATTTGGGTTTTGTGAAAAGTAGTAATGCTACCAATTCTGGTGAAGATTCCTTAAATGATGATATTTATGTAGTAGATAGAGAACTCTCAGATTTGATAACTACTTCGTAGGTCATTGAATTTGGTGTAAAGAATATTTATGCTAGGGACATAGTAATGCTCTGCTTAATACTTTTGAAATTTAGGAATTACAATTTCACTTTTTTGGTGTGAAAGCATAACATTAATAACGTGATTAATTTGCCTTTATTGTATAGCAAATTCCTGAGCACCTGATGGTTCATGCTGGTTCATCAAATATTGGGCCCTTCCTGGAGAAAAAAGGCTATATCCCATTGCCAGAGCAGGTAAAATGTCATTTTGTTTCTGGTAACTGAGTTATTAACTTGGCTTATATTTCTTTTTGGATTTTGACTAAATCACTTTTTTTTTTTGCTATCTTTTATTTGTAAAAAGGTAAAATTTGTAAAGTGGTAATGAGTTAGTGTATGCAATTAAATACTTCCCTTGAGAGTGAATGTCAGATAGAAATTGAGCAGTTTTATAGGTGTTCAGTAAGAGAGAAAGTAATTGTTATCAATTAGTTCTTAAGAAATTATCATTAGCTCTCTGATTAGTTTAGTTCTATCTTGGGGATCTTTCTCTTTATAATTCATAGACATGATTTACTTCTAAAGGCAGTGTGAATATAGGATCCTCCATGTTTTGAGTTGGGAACAACTCTGGATATCAGCTATACTCCTTGTTTTATGTTTGTGAAAATGGAGGCTTAGGCAAGCCAATATTAGAGAACTTGGGTCTCCTGCTTTTCTGGTGAACTTTCTACTGCATTTGACATTACCTTGTTAAGCAGCAAAGTATTATGTGATTAGCAGAAGTCAGTATCCAGCACCACAGCTGTCCCTCTCAGCGAATGGCTCCTTGGAAGCAAACCTGCCAGAGGTCATCGGTCTCCTTACATACCCAGCACCAACCTCCAGGACTGGCTTACCCAAAAGCAGACCGTGGAGAATAGTCAGGTCTGTTGCTGCCTTTATTATTTCTGAGGTAGACGTAGTAGTGGATGGAGTTAGTTACTACTAATCGATAGTTTTTAGTTCTAGTCTGGAAACATATTTTTAATAACTTTTTATTACTATAGTGACACCTCTTCACTATAGATAGAAAGTTTAGAAAACAAAGAACGGTAGAAAGAAATACAAACCCATAATCCGGGGCCGGCCCAGGGGCGTAGCAGTTCAGTTCACACGCTCTGCTTCAGAGGTCTGGGGTTCGCAGGTTCAGATCCCCTCACCGACCTATGCACTGCTTGTCAAGCCATGGCAGCGTCCCATGTAAAGTAGACGAAGATGGGCACAGATGTTAGCCCAGGGCCAATCTTCCTCAGCAAAAGAGGAGTATTGGCAACAGATGTTGACTCAGGGCTAATCTTCCTCAAAAAAAAAAAAAGAGAACAAACCCATAATCCCAACATGCAGAGACAAACACTACCGTTTTTGTTTATATACTTCATTTTCTATGCATACATAAACTTTAAAAAAATCATTCTGTAAATCCTGTTTTGGTTAGCAGATTTTTTTTTTCACCAATAGAGCATGAATATATTTCTCCGTCATTTAATTTCTTCCATAAAATCCTTAATAGTATATAATATTTCATTGATTGGCTGTAACTTAGACTCCAGTTTTTCTGGATATAAACAGAGTTCCTTCAAACATCCAGGAGCTAATTATTTGTGTACGTTCTTGATTAGTTCCTTAGAAGTAAATTCCTAGAAATTGCATTCCTAGGTTACAATTCTGCACAGCCTTTAAGACTTTTGATATATATTGCCAACTTGGCTTTGCAGGAAGTTGATAACCAGTCTATATTCCCACCAGCAGAAGATTGGGGTACCTGCTTCCTTGAAACTTCTCTAATAGAGGTGGTCACAAGTTTCTTTTTTTCTCTGAATTTGACACAAAATAACGTTTACTTAAATTACTAAGAAGGCTGTTTTTCATGTTTATTAGCCTTCTTTGATGACTTGCCTAATCATATCCTTTGCTTATTTTTGTCTTCTTTATTCATAAAAACATATATAGAACTACTAACCTCTTTTCTATCAAAAATGCTACAAATGCTTTCTCCTAGTTTGTCTTTAATGTTTTTCAGTTTGTTTAAAACTGCAAAAAATTAAATCTTTCATGTATGCAAATATATATTTTAATATCTCAACAGAGAAAACCCTTGTTTCTTGGCTTTGTATACTTAAATTTAGAAACATTGGTTAGTGCAGTAATATGCAAATAGAACTTTTATCATTGAATCTCAAACCAGTCATAATGTTCTGGTGAACTGATATTTTATATTTCTTGAGTAGACTTCTGCCAGAGCCTGCAATTTCTTCAGTAATGTCTGGGGCAACCTAAAGGGCTTGGAAAACTGGCTCCACAAGAGTCAGCAACAAGAAGTTCCTGAAAAACCAAGTTACCAGAAGTGTAACAGCTATTCTACCACTAGTTCTTACTCCACTGAGATTGAAAAGGTTGGTGATCTAGAGCTTCTTGATCAAGATGAGATGGACCTTTCTGATTGGCTGGTGACTCCCCAGGAATCCCATAAGCTAGAGAAGTCCAGGAATGACAGCTGTGAAACCAGTGAGAAGTTTAAGCTCTTGTTCCAGGTGTTCCAGGAGTCCTATAGTGTGAATGATTGGCTTGTCAAGCCCGATTCCTGTACCCGTTGTCAGGGCAACCAGCCCAAAGGTGTGGAGATTGAAAACCTGGGCAATTTGAAGTGCCTGAATGACCACTTGGAGGCCAAGAAACCCTTGTCCACCCCCAGCATGATTACTGAGGATTGGCTTGTCCAGAACTGTCAGGACCCATATAAAGTAGAGGAAGTATGCAAAGCCAATGAGCCCTGTACAAGCTTTGCAGAGTGTGTGTGTGATGAAAATTGTGAGAAGGAAGCTTTGTGTAAATGGCTTCTGAAGAAAGAAGGAAAGGATAAAAATGGTATGCCTGTGGAACCAAAACCTGAGCCTGAGAAGCATATAGATTCCCTGAATATGTGGCTCTGTCCTTCCAGAAAAGAGGCAACAGAACAAGCTAAGGTACCAAAAGCAATGGCTCCTTCTAGAATTGCTGATTCCTTCCAAGTCATAAGGAACAGTCCCTTGTCAGAGTGGCTCATCACACCCTCATGCAAAGAAGGATATCCCAAGGAAGTGCCTAGTACCGAGGACAGAGCTGGCAAACAAAATCTTATGAGCCCCGTGGCCACTTCTTGGTGTCCCTTTAAGACAGCTGACTGGGTCTTGCCAGGAAAGAAGACAGGAAACCTCAGCCAGTTATCCTCAGGAGAAGACAAGTGGCTACTTCGAAAGAAGGCCAAGGTGAGCACAGACATCAAAATAGCACCATTTGAAATCTGTTTAATAAATTTTTACTTTCTTAATCCCAAACCTTGCAAATGGGCCACATCCTTAACTATATGTTAAATTGGGCTTAAGTATTAGTTTTGGTGCCATGTTAGAAACAGAATGGAGGATTTGTGATTATTTAGACTGCAAGTTTTGTGTATTTTCCAGGCCCCTAACCCCCATCCTGCAGGAAAGAAAAAAACCCTAGCCTGTTTTATTGCTATTTATCGAAAAGATCAGGGGTAGAGAAAACAATGGTAACCTTTGCTCTTGATTATTAATACAGTGAGAATGGCCCACATTTAAATTATTCTTCATAGACATTACATTATTTGGGAGATGAGTTAAGTTGGTTTCCTGACTCCTAGTTGTCACGCAACCCACCCTTTTTGTCTTGCAGGAAGTATTACTTAATTCACCCCTACAGGAGGAATGTAACTTTCCCCCAGACCGTTATGGCCTTCCAGCAGTTTGTGATCTCTTTGCCTGTATGCAGCTTAAAGTTGATAAAGAAAAGTGGTTGTATCGAACTCCTCTACAGGTGGGTATATGCCACTAGTGTCAATATTACAGATTTTAGCTGCTTATAAATGTTTTGTCTTATATATCAATTCATACTTTGACCATTGAACCATATTCATATTAATGGTATGTGTATTAGGCAAGTGAGGGTGGGAGAGAGGGAGATCATAAATATTTCATGTATTTCACTTGAACTTGCTTTATGAAATAACTAAGACATACTTGAAAATGACCTTTTCTAGATGATGTAGCTGTCAGGGGTATTTTCAGAGCCTGTGTGGATTCTAATAGCTTATTGAGAAATGAGTCAGAGCTTTAAGGTGGGGAAAAATTTGCTTTTATCCTACAGTGAAGTGACTTTTTAATCTGTTGGCTTGTCTTTACAGATGTGAAGGAATGAAGTACCATTGTCAAGCAACTTTTCTGCAGATTATCACACATCCATGAGCCGAGTGACTGTGGCTTGCTAAATCTTTATGTTTCTGGGTCTGACCAGTCAGCTTAGTTCCTTTCCTGCCTAATTTTGAACTAGTGAAGAGAAATAAGTCATCAAATTATGAGTTACTCTGTAAAAGAAAAAGGCTGTTGATTGATGCTGAGGTGATTCAGTTCCTTCTTACAGAAGTATTAACTTAATTCACCCCTATGCTAGAAACATGGCATCTTTGTGGATAGGTCTTTTTCATAAGCCTCCATGGCTCCTTAGATTGGGTTGTTACTAGAAGTACATTAAGACACTGTAGTTTAAAAAAACGAAATAGTTCTTTAATCAAGGTATGTTGTGGTATTCTAAAGCTAGTTAACTTCTCTAACCTTTTGACTGCCCTTTAGATGCTTCCCTTGCTGTGGGTTTCCTTCCATTAGTGGTAGAAATAATGATTCTTCTGTTTAATAATTAACCTTGCCAATATAGTGATTTTTTTCTTACCAAATGTGTATAACAATCTTGGCAGTTTTGAAATGAATTATAAAACATTTTAGCCTACATGTTAGATTCTACATTAGTTTTCTTCTTTTGAAAGAAATTCGGCTAGTGCACATTTTGTCTTGATTCCCTTCTCTAAATGTTATTGAAGTATCTAGTGAGCTCTTTTAAGAAGGGCTCTGTATTGCTTCAAGACTATATTCAGGGTAGTTGTAGCCTCTTTCAAACTATTCTGAAGAACTACAGGCACAAGAGCCCCAGTGCCAACTAATTAAAGAGCAAAAGGCAAGACATGTTGGAAATGTAGTACTTGAAATATTCACTAGCCTAAGGGTTACTGGTGCATCCTGTGTAAAGGGAAGCTGAGCTTCACACCTGGTGCTTTCAACTAGGAATAAATGAAACATCCTCTCACTGCACGCATAGTATACCTGTACCTCTAAAAGTATAATGCAGTGACGTTTTAGTGAACAGGCCATTTTGAACACTTGTGCCTTGGGGTGTTTATTGAAGCTTTATGGAAACTATTGATGTTTTCTCAATATCCTTAAAGTCATGTCCATGCTTTAAAGTTTCTCTGTAGGAGAGAAATGGGATTTATAGTTTTTAAATTCTCTGCGATATCTTAGCTGCTTTCCAGGCTTTTACACACATTAAGCCACTTGACTTGCCTGTGTTATTGGAAATAACTTACAAAGTCTGAGATATGGTCCTCTAGAAAGCCCTTTTGGGGAAGCTTCAGAATCTGTGTCCTTGCCATGCAGCTTCATTAGAATTCTTGAACCACAGCTGAAAAGAGCCTCCTATTATTTTTTAGTACCCTGATACCATTTAGAACTTTAATAAAGGTGGTGGTAAAAACTTAAGGAGCCTTTCCATTATCTTAGGTCGCAGGAAACTTTATAGTTTTTGAGGCTTAACACCACTTGTAGTCCTAAATTTAATCACTATGCTAATAAGTATGTAAAACATTCTTTTGCATTGATGCATTTTGTACCTCCCTCCATTAAAAGCATAACAGCCATAGTTGTCGTGTGTATTTGTAAAACTACCTTGTCACAAAATGTTCTATCATATAAATGTGATAACCGTTGGTCAGGAGTACAGCTCAAACAACTGGAACATAAAATGTTTTTATGTTCACTTAAAATATCAATTTCATGAATCTAAAATTAGCAAAGAATGGGTATCACTACTGACTTCCATTTTCAGTCTTTCTGCCAACTCTTCACATCTCCTTTTAATTTTTAATCTGCTCTGTTGCAAATGAAATATATATTTTTTTTCAACTAGAGAACCTCAGCTAAGGATCAGTGCTTTTCTGCCAAATTCCTTCTTTTACTAGATGCATCCAAAAAGGTCCTAACTTACTTACTTTTTCCAATCATAATAAGCACCAGTTGCTTAATATACTACTCTAATGGAATAATGGTTAATCTGAAATAAATAAATATCTTGAGGTTGTTCAGTGTCAACTCCACTGGAGAAAAATCTTATCCTAGCTGTTAATGCCATCAGTAGCCCTTCATTTCAACACAAGCACGAAAACATGTTTTAGCCTAGTTGGGGCAGAAAAAAATGCCAAGAAGAACTCACTTTTTACCCAGAAAGATGCCTCTAATGGAGATGCCCACTATGTTTACGTTCGAGTATGACTTTGGTTCTATTTCACCCTTTATTGCGAATACAGGGCAATATTACACTTTCGAATCATTAAATGAACAAACGTGGTGATATAGTGTAGATGACAAGCTTGGCCTGAATTATGGGAGTAAGTGATTTTTCCAGTCCAGGGGGTAGGAGAACAGGTGCAAGATCTTCTTCAAAGGAGAAGAGAGCCACATTACTCAGCCACCAAAGGGTTTTGGCTTCAACTCATTAATGGCTGGAAGCAGTGCCAATCCTGGTCAACCATCCATGATCTTCATCACAGCAAACTGGAATCCCCAACTTTTCAAACTAATTGTAGGTAGAAGAGAGAATAACTCGAGACTGACTTATAAATTGATCTGGATAACTACTAAAGTGTCCTCTAGTCACAAGTTGGCAAAATCTTCAGAGTGACTGTTGGAGCAAGGAGCCTTTCATGTGCTCCCAGTTATTATATAGAGCATAGAGGCTGGTAAGTGTTAGTCCTGTTAGACCACCTCGTGCTACCCCTCGAAGACCACCTAGGGGGGAGAGAGAGAGAAAAAAAAAATAAACAGCCTTGCATTGCATAGTGTTCTAGCATCAAAGGGTTAAATAAGAGTAACATAAAATTGAGACACACCATTCATGTTTATAAATATTCCATCCCAAACAGCAGAATACAAGTTTTAAAAGTAATATAAGAAACCAAGACTGAAGTTTGAGAAATTCTTTAAATCACTTCTTTAATACATATATTTTCATATTCACAACGTTTTTTGTCTTTTAATTTCACAATCTGTACCTAAGATCACCATCACTAATAATTTCTTGATTTTTCTCAATCTGACTTGTTCCTACAACACTTTTGGACAAGATCTTATGCTTCTTATTATTTAAAGTCCCAACCAAATCAATAATTTCCTGCTAGTCATATAGTTTATAACTACACTGGCACTGTCAATTGATTTAAAGCTGTAATGTAAACAAGGTGACACCCTCTTTGGAAACAGTATTAACAGCCTTTGGACTCTGGACAGGTCCTCTAAATATTACCTTTGAAGACTCAAGAAGTAGTAGTGATAAGTGGCTATAATCAAGCTTTGAGTTAGGAGTTGATGAAGCATCAACTCCCTCGTCCCCCATTCCTACCCTGACGTGTCAGACAATCTACAACTAAGGAGCAATGAGGCACTTAGCATCATCATACTAGTTGAAAAACATTCAAGGATTAGACTTTGAACTATTTTTGCTTTACAACAATTTTTCATGTGGAAAGATATTAGCAATACATATTGCATATGAAATGCAGAAACAAATGTTTCAGTTATCTGAAAATAGTCCCCAAGTCTAATAAGAGGAATGGAGGTACCAAAAGAAGCTTTAAAGAAATACTTGATGTTTTCTTACAGTTTCACAAACAAGTAGGGACCATAAACTTCAGGTAGCCTATACTGTACCTATGAAGTATTTGTTCCAAGTAATGTGTCAGGAAGGCAAAGGTGGAATCGACCTATGGTCCACTGGTTAACTTACTAGAGGCCCTTTAGCTATGAGCCAGTAAATTCTGTGAAATTCAGTGATGTTGCTGAGTATGAAGACTTCAGACCCACCATTTCTGCAGTGAATGTCCTGCCAGATGGCTTCTGCTGATAGATTAAAGAGCCACTCCCTATAGGAGCCTCTCTAGTCTGAAGACTTCTGATAGCTGACCTGCTTAGGCTTCCACTGTGAAGTGCCCTAATTATCTCGTTTAAACAGACCCAAGAGAAATTGCCGACATAATCTATAAACAGCTGTCAAATATGTGGAAGGGGGATCAGAAACATTAAAAAAGAATGAAAGAAAATGAGAACTATCTCCTTGAAGTCCACATCATTTCTTTATATCATCTTGCCATATTTAGACTAGGCATGGCAGTTGAGTTTGCAACTGTATTCAGTGTGGTTGAAAAATTATAAAAGTAATATACATGCAACCTGTTAACTTACAACAATCTGCTCAGGTTAATAATGATCTACCTTGATTTGACCAGTAAGTCAATAAAGTGTAGGGTCTGAAAGTGAACTATAATTATACCAAATTCCTAAAATGGAAAAAATAAACTATGAAGCACGAAAGAGAAAAGGCTAAGCAACAGCATCACTACAGCTCAGTTATTAGACCTAAACTTCGAGTGTAAGGAGGGCTCTTTCAAGCAGGTTACAGTAATATACTACTACTCTAACTTCATTATGAATCAACACAAAGCAAAGCAAAAGCTAAGGTAGCCTTACTGCTGTTTATTTGTAGAAAAATGACAGGAAGTAACCGAAAGCACAATAGTTTTGCAGACGCTATTTCCTGGGACCAAACGTTCACCTTCAGACTAACTTCCCCTGGACCTTTAGTCGATTACAGATCCACAGGACTCAAGTCTGCCCGCTGGTTTGGAAATAGCTGCAAACTGTTCCAGTGGGCCCTTTGCTTTGAGTGTCCTAAGGACATGGTTTCTACTTGGCCCTTTTGGAAAGATTTTCACACTAGTTCTCAGCTATCAAATAACAAGCCTCCTTGGGCATAGGCACTAGAGGTAACATAATGAAACTGGGAACTATAAGGCTCTAAGTTCTTTGGGACATCAGTGGCATATTAAATGTCCCTTAAGAACAATTATCCCCCAGAAAGCTTTCTACTTTCTGACCAAAATGAAACTAACTTAGTTCAAATCAATTAAGTAACCTTTTCTAGCCTTCAAAGAAAGTAATTTCCAGCAAGAAGACACCAAACATACGCAGTGTTTGCTTTACTAAGCATGGTTAATCCTGACTCAAGGGTCGTCTTTTATCACATACCAGCCATGTTTTAGTGTTAACTCTTTCCATTAATTCCAGGGTTTTCCAACTGGTTGATCTGTTAAAAGTTTGAGGGCCTTGGCTTTAGGCTTTCTGTAATCAAACAACTTCTGCCCAACTAAGCACAGGAAGTTGATTAGCAAATATACTTGCTTTGAAAACAGAGTAACCAAATAAGGCCAACGGTCAATCTCTAAAGCAAAACAAACATGAGACTTGTGTTTCACAGTTTCACCTTCTATCTTTTGGATCCTTACACAACTCTTCCAGAAAGGGCAAATATTACCTCTTCTAAACATGGGAAAATGAGGCCCAGAATATTTAAGTGCCTCGTTTGTGGGGTATAGAGCTGGTAAGTGGCAGAGTTAACACTGAAATGACCATTACTTTAGAGCAGGAATCAGCAGATTTTTCTTAAAATGGCCAAAAAGTAAACATTTTAGGCTTTGAAGGCCCAAAGGCTATTATGTAGGTACTTATATAACCATTTAAACTTAACTACTTAAAAATGTAAAACACATTCTTAGCCTGTAGACAGTGAACAGATAGGCATCTGGTCAGCAGGAGTTGGTGGCCCCTGCTGTAGAGGAACAGCCTTCCCTACACACTGAGATGGCTACTAAACACCCTTCAAAAAATTTTTGCACTATTTAACTTTAAAAAATTTTGTTAAATTTACTATTTTTAAAAATTGTGGTAAAATACACATAACATAAACTTTACTATTTTTAAGCGTACAGTTCAGTAGCATTAAGCATATTGGCATTGCTGTGCTATCAATGCCACCATCCATCTCCAGAGAACTTTTTTCACCTTGCAAAACTGAAACTATGTACCCATTAAGCAATAACGCCCCCCTTCTCCCTCCCAGTCTAATACTTAATTTAATTTTTTATGTTGATACATCATTTAATTTTTGTTTTTATCAAAGTAGTCCATATATATAATTTTAGAAGTCAAGACAGTACTAAAAGATTTTAGTGATGCACAATAGTCTGGTACACTCACCATCCTCACCCTAATTCCTAGTTCCCAAAGGCAACTACTTGAATTCTTTGCTCTTTACCTTCACGTTTCTAAATAACAAGATTATCTTGCTATTTCTTGATTTTTCAATCTTACATACTGTCTATTGACTTCCTACTAGGAAAACTGTGTTAAGTCTTGTAGGAATTGTACAAAATGTGCGTATGGTGGAAAGTCACTGCTTTATATAGGTTATCTCATTTACAAGTCTGTGAAGGGAACAGAGGCAACCCTTGTTTTTTTATAGACAAACAAATTCAGAGAAGTGACTCTCTGGTTCACACAGCTCTTTAGTGATCAAGTCAAATCCAGTCTGACTCCAAAGCCCCATTGTCTTTTCACCATGCCTCCAGGAAACAGAAAGGAAAAATCAGCAAAATTTCTTGAAAGGGCTAATAACAGTTGAGCTGGGCCTTAAGGTTGGACTGGACTTCAAATTTATCTGTTTGGTCATAGGATGTGCATAAGGAAGGTGTGAGAGAAAAGTATGGAAAGATAGGTTAGGATTAGAACATGGACGTCTACAGTGAGAAGTTTAAATTTAGGTCGAAAGGCAGTGTGTCATCATCAAAGGTTTTTGGAAAGGGAGTATTCGAGTTAGAACCATCCTTGAGGAAGATTATGCTAGAGATGGTGAGTAGGTAAGACAGATTGGCAGTAGAAGCCTCAAGTCAAAATGGTCAATGAAAAATAGTGTCACAGAAGTTCTGGGCCTGTGATAAGGGCCTCAACTCAGGTGACTGGTGGTGAACTTTACAAGTGATGAAATGGGGGATGGTGAGAGAAAGGTAGAAATCAAAGGTGACTGGGTCACTAGAAGGCTGTTTCCCACTTGCTGCTTTTTTCTTTCTTTGCTTTACTACAGAGTGGAAGCAACATGTGTGATTTTGAACAGCATAGCAGCTAGCTTTCCTGGGCTTCCCTCACCACTGCCCCATCCAGCCCTTCCTTGCAATCCCAGATCTTCCATGCAAGACTAAACTCACTAAAATATCAGTTGTTTTTGACTTCCCACATTGCAGTGCCCTTTTAGGACTATTTTGCCAGATTCTTAGTCTTTTTGGTGGTGGCTCTTCTGCGGATGGTAGGGAGTATCCCAGAGCCCTTTGAGAATCTTATGGAAGTTTTAGAGGGTTTATAAATCCTGAGTTAACATCTCCTGGTGTAAACGCTATACTCAGGAGAAGGGTGAAAGTTTAACTCTCTGGAAGTTATAATAAACAATTTAAGGCTTAGAAGTAAATGGAAATGCTAGTATTTAGCAGGTAAGAATTAACCAAAGTCCAGTTAAGCCAAATTCTTTACAGCAGCCCATGAAGCTCTATCTTCTCTGATTTGGTCCCTTGCCACTGTTCTACCACAGATTCCACCACTCTTCCCACTGCCTTTTGACTCCCACTCCAGGGCCTTTGTTCTTGTTATCTTTCCCTAAATTGCTCCTTCCAGACACTCACCTCACATGCTCCCTCATCTGTCTATCTTTGTTCAAATATCACCTTCTCCTTAGCTTGTCTTAAACACCCTGGTACATATTTTTTTTGTAGTTTCTACTTCTGAAGTGTACATTGGGGACTGGAAATATTTTAGGCCAGCAGGAATTAGCCATTCCCTAAATGTACACTTCTTTTCTTAATGGTTTATACCAGCTCTAGACTAAAAGAGTGCCTCAACTCTTTTCCAAA